CTATGCTCAGCATATATCCTCAGCTATCTGTCATTGACTGTTCAAGACAAGTAAGATTTATTATTATCTCATCTAATTATGAAAATGATAAAGTGGTTGAAATCACGGAAATTGTCTATTTCTGTAAAAAAAAAAATATCTGAGCTGGTATTAGCAATTTGCTAATAGCAAACACAATAGCTGGATCATTTCTTGAAAATTCGAGCTGGTATAACGATACCGACTTCAAATGATTGTACACAGTGTATGTAGTCAAAACAAAACAAAACAACTCATTATCAATTATTGATATCAATTAAAAAATCCATTCAGAATGTTCTGAATACGCATTTTCTAATGGAACTTCTGAATCATTCCGAAATGTTATCTTAAAATTGATATTAATAGTTCTGTGTTCGGTACGCGACTAAAATTTGAAGAGAAGTTTTTTTTATTGAATGGTTATTTTCTTGAGTAAATTGAATTAAAGGTAAGCGGTTTTCTGATTTATTTTTTTTTCATCAAGAAGAATAGCTATTTTTAGAGTACAAAAATTAACAAAAATAATGAAAAAATAGTTCAAAATGTACAAAAAGCCAATTTGGAAATTCAAATTACGTTGATTAGTCATCGGTCGCACCCATTACAGCATTGACCGTATTCATTTGATACTGTCTGTCAGCTGCTGAAAAATTCAAGATGGCTACGATTTTTTTTCCATTGATTTCTGTCATTCGAGTGCCAGTGTGTCGAACATTTTTTCTTAAAGGTAAAACGATTCATTTTCTATTCTATTGTTGTTTGGAAATTACGTAATGAATATTATTTTCATATAAAAACATGTGAAAGAACACCATCGATGTGAAAAGAGTGCTTGAATCATTAAAATAATAATGCATTTCAATCTTTTGTGCAGAGAGTTTGTGAGTTTTTTCCAGTAACAAACGTGATTTAAAAAAAAGAATACAAAAAACAAAAATATGGTTTTGGATAGTGACGATAAATGTGCCGAGGCATCAAGAAATAATTCGGCCAGTCCGACAACCAATCCTTCTGGTACAGTATCACTGCATCCGCCTTTCATTATGAATATATTCGAACACTGGACACGTATTGCTACTCAAAATGGTAGCCCACAACATGGTAATTATCAACATGTATTTTGTGAAGTAAAAAAATTAACATCACCTCTGTTTCGAAAGAAAAAACAAATAGAATTTCATCGTTTGGTACTTATCCGCTAAGACTGTGTCAACAATAAATTTCATTTTTTTCATTGGCAGTGATTGGTGGATTAATCGGTAATCGAAGCGGTCCTAATGTTGAGGTTATGAACTCATTTGAACTTGAATTCAATTTTTCCGATCATGACATCATCATCGATAAGGAAAAATGTCGCAACAAACAACAAGAATGTAATTTGAATACTGGCATTAAAACTAAATCCAATTTTCTGTCCGAATTTGTGCATTTATCGTTGTATTTTTCCCTATCTTTTGTCGATGTATAGATATAGACAAACAGCCGTCCACAGATTCGGAGTTTCTCGGCTGGTACAGCATCGGCAATCATCCAACTGAAGAAAATATCAAAGTGCATAAGCAAATATGCGAAATAAACAAAAGTTCAATCATGTTACAACTTAGCCCACAATCATGGAAAATTGACGTAAAATATATATTTCAAATTTCCGCATTTTTTTTATGTATTCAACTTAAAATTTATTTGTTGGTCATCTTTTTTTCCAAGCAGCTCCCCGTGAAATCGGAAAATGAAATTTCCCATGTCAATTTACCATACAAATCATTTTTTGTTTATGCAATTAATGAAAAGCTAAATAAGTTAAACCAGTTGGATCTACTCATTAAGCAAAACAAAGATTATCACGAGGCGCTAGTAGATAAACTCAACGAAATGATCCAAAAACAGAGCACTAACCATGAAGCCTTGATGGACAAACTCGATGGAATGAGCAA